CAGTAATCTATCTCCTTCTCACACTCTCTAACCAATTTAAAGCCTGCAAGGACCTCCTTTCTGGAGTGTACCTGCTTCCCTCCGTTTATGTGCAGGTGTGTAGCCCCTTCATCCATGGTGTGGCTAGACTGTGTACTGCTCCCAAGCATGTTTGTTAAATAATTACATGATGGTATCCTTGGGCCCATGTGCTTCTTAAAAATTATTTTTCTCTTCTGGGAGATCATGTTGTGTTGACTTGTGTTGGGAAGGATTTGAGAAACTTGTCTTTTTGGCCAGTGTGCAGCATGTAAGCTTTAACATGACTAAGGTATGGTACAGAATTTCTTCTTGACTCCTTTGCAGCCATTCCAATTTATAGCAGCAAGATTATATGCCTCTTGCCTGTGGAAACTGCTCCCATGCACATACAAACTGAAGAGCCTTTCAGCAACAGCATGTAATTCTAAAACTGAAAAATATGTGAGGCTTTGAGAAATTCCTCTGATGGTGTCAGTGCTAGAGTCCAGAATGAATCACTTGTATGTTTGGGTTTTAATAAAAAGTGTTGCATCTTTGTGGTGTCCTCTGAGAACCACCTTACAAGGCCTAAAGTGCTGAATTTTGATTTAGAGAAGATTTTACTGACGGCAAGATGGACTTTGGCATCTCATGCAGTAAGCGTGAGTAGAATGCTGTTGTGCCAGTCAGCCTGGTACTCTTTAGCCACTTACTAGGAGTTACTTGGAGGAGGCCAAGGCTGCTAACATCCTTAAGTACAGGTTTAATATTCTCTGACAGGGCTTTGAAATGCTTCTAAGTTGAATTATTTGAATGACATTTCAGTTTACTCCTGGCAACTATTTCACTTTAAAGTGATGGCCCTTAAAGCCTGAAGCAATCCTGTCCTTGTAGCTAACCACAATGATCTCTGTCTCCTTGGCTGGCAATAGTGCAACAAATATACTGACAGCCATGATTCAAGAGCAGCTTCTTTTTGCTTGGTCCTCTTTTCACTGCTATGCTAGCTGCAGCAGTACTGCATACGCATAAACCAATGCAACATGCTGTTTAAATATAAATAACAGAGTTGTGATTTTTTTCTTTTCTCCTTTGTTCTGTTAGGTTCTCATATTCTACCACTACCCTTTGTACCGGGAATACCCCTTCCTGTGGCCAGGGAATAAAATGCCGGCACCATGGGCTAATACAACCAATGTGCACAAACTGTTACAGTTCCTGGAGACCACTCTTGGGGAACGAAGTCGTTATGGGACTTTTCATGTTTCTCAAGCAATTCTCACACCTCAAGTGAAAACTATTGCACGGCATCTAATTCGTGGTCTGAAGAACACGCTTGTTCATAGGTAAGGACTTCTCTTGATTTCAGTTCTTTACGTACTGTGTTTTCTGTTGAAAGAGGCACTGAGTAAGCAAGAAATTATTAAATGTTTGCTTATCATAGAATCATAGAATGGTTTAGGTTGGAAGGGGCCTTAACAAACATCTAGTCCAAACTCCCTGCCACAGCCTAGAAGACTTGATGAAAGTACACAGCTTTGGTTCGTTACTATTGCTAGTGAGAGATATTTGCAGTCTTTAAAAATAAAGTTACTGAAAATAATAAGGTAACAGGGGGGGTGTGTGTGTATGTGTGTGTATATATATATAATTTTAAAAAGCATAATTTTGTTTCCTGGTAATTTGAGCTGTTTCCAAATGTGATGTGATACCATAAAACATCGACCAGACCTGCTGTTTCAAACCAGTAGTTCATTCCAAATTGGTTGTACTTGAAGTCGGTGGGGGGGGGGGATAAATGTGCCACGTTAGAAAACTGTCTGTTTTGGGGCTCAGTTTTGCCTTTGTCTGCATAAATCTGTCCCAGTAATTTCAGTAATGGCCGAAGATGTGTGACCTGGGTCAGTATTTTATCTTACGTTTCTTTACCAAAAATTAATTTGACCTTTTCTTATACCACTGACTGTTGTACAATTAATTTGCTTATGAGTGAGATCACTAGAAGAGGGTTTTGCTTTGACTAGCATAGAGTGCCAGCAGTTTTCAATAGTGACCAGTGTAGGTTCTCTATGACTTTATTTTATGGCATTACCACCTTGCAGCCTGATGGCTAAAAACTGCCAGAACTGTAACAGTCCTGGGGGGATCTGGTCTTTTGGCTCACTGTTTTAATATTGCCTGTTTTGATGTTGCTGACAGTTTATCTTGCCATAACGATATTGAATTCTAAATTACACTTGTATAGGTGGTCACAGCTTGTCTAATTTGATCAGCAACTGAGCTTAGTATCAAGCAGTGTGATAAACACGCATCTTCAGCCAGTTCTTGTTCCCTTTGGGAGAATCACTGTTCACTTCAGAATTGATTACAGTATTGGTATTTTGAAGCCAAAGTCAATAGAACTTATTTTCTTGAAAATCCTTTCTGAAGATAGCAAGTGGTGTGCTTTTGCAGTCGCAGAAGTTGTTGATGGAAGTAAGGAAGTACTAGAAGTGTAAGTCATGGAGTTTCCTGTCTCTGTCCTGCTTACAGACATTAATCTAGCAACAGATAATTAAATCCAAACGATGTTTGCCAAGTGTATTCAGTTCTCTGCTCTGGCATGCGCTCTACCTGTGCGGTCAGCATCAGTCACTAGATGGTGCTCGGGGACTTTAGGACTGGCCTTTGCTGTCACCAGTTGCGCAGGTTTGGTGGGGATACTTAACAGGAAGCACAGATACTACTTATTTCTACGTACTGTATGTTAAATGCACTGTTGTCTCGTGATTATGGGAAAGGTCGTACTGGATTTCTATTTTTAAACTAGTAAAGGATCATCTAATTTCATGGAATGGGCGAGCAGTTTTGTTTCGAGTGACTCCTGGCACAGGATCAGGGCAGTAAGCCACTGGAAGCTTGTCTTTGCTCCTTACCTTTCCCTCAGCCTCATCTTTCCACTTGTTTGAAAGTAAACTGTGAGCATTTAAAGTAGACACCAGTGTTTGCTAAAGCATCCTTGCTCATATACATTTACACGTACTAGACGATTTGTATGTGTAAATCTGTCTTTGCAGTTCTGTGTGGATGTGTGCCTTCTCATATGGAAATTTTGCCCTGAATATGACTCTTGAGCACTTGCTAAAGGAGAAATTGCAACATTCACACTTAGCTGGCTAAAGTCTGGTGTGTCCTTTCACAGGGACAGTAATTATGCCTTCTCTCAAGTTCTCATCTTTTGGTTCTTGACAAGATTTTTTTTTAACCTGGAACAAGATCTGTGTGGTATTTTTAGGGTTTTTTTGTTTGCTTGTTTCTTCCCCATCCTGTTAGCCAATTTGCTTGCTTACCATCTTCTCATATAATTTTGTATTATGGTAGTAATTTAAATAATTCTAATATACTTAATCATTTGCCTCTGTGCCAAAAACCCTGGTGCTTGTATGTTAGAGTGCAAAAAAACTCGTGCAGGCTCCTGACTTACGCTCTGTCCAATAAATGACTTGAAATTTCTCCCCACAGTAGTATTTTTAATTCCATTTAATTCAATTCATGACACACCTCACCTTTCCCTGGTTACAGTGATGTATGGTGGGATTTTCAACCCCTGTAGAGCCGAGGGCTCGATCCTGGGTTTGGTTTGACTGATTGTGCTGCTCTGGGTGGGACTGGAGGCTGAAAGGCATTTGGAAGAAATGCAGTGTGCTGTGCCCAGCAACTTCTTTCCTGCCCACCCTAAGGCAGAGCTGGGCAGGGCAGCATCTTGGGCCAGATACAGCCCTGCTTTGGGCTACACTGAAGTCTGCTGTGAAATCAAGCTCTGTTTCAACATGTACTTGGGTAAAAACAAACCAGGATGGGGGAGATTGTCGTGCAACATTAAATCCTGAAGCACAGTCTGCTCAGTGGGCATAGAGTCCACAAATGTTGTTTTGTGCACATGGTATTTTGGATTGGTGACTGACCAATATGTCTAACTGATAGCTTGTGATGACATGCTATGTTAAACACTCTTCTCATCAGCTGGTTGCGTTTTGGGTGGCAGTCAAGACCTGACCACAAATGTGAGATGATAACATGTGTAAACAGTATGTTATATTGGAAATAAGTATGTATAGAGAAAAGTATTTTTAAAAAATATTTAATTTTCTTTATTTCAATTTCTTTAGGAACCTGCCCATGATTTTGAACTGGGTGAAAGCACAGAAGCCAGGTGTTATGGGTGTTAACATAATTACATCAGACTTTGTGGAGCTGGTTGACTTTGCTGCTACAGTTATTGCATTAAACGACCTCCTTTTAGAAGAGGATGAATCTGCAACTAAATCTTGATTGCTGTATCCCACTTGTGCTCCTCAGTGGACATCTCTGAACTACACTGAATGTTTTATTCATTAAGTGAAACCTATTGTAATCTCTGTTTATTTAAAAAAAAAATATCTAGAGGAAACACGGTTAAACACCGGGTGCAGGCAGGTCCCTTCTCCTGGTGACGTGTAGGTCTGAGCAGAACAAAGTGCTGTCTGGGTGCTGCTGCGTGTCTGTGGCTACGTGTGTGACTAAGTTATGCACGCATCTGCTGCAGGCCGGCGCGGTGTCTGCCTGCCAACAAGAGGCTGGGCCTCTGGAGCAGATGGACCCGATTATGGTGCACGTCTCCCTGGTGACTGGACTCACCGTGCTCTTGTGTGCACATCCTGCTTATTTCTCAACTCCAGGTCTCAGACCAAGGATTACTGCTGATCCCTCGGCAGCACACTGACCAGGGTGGCCATGATGGCATTGTTCTTGGGCTACCTCAGGCGTAGCTGGGCTCAGCTGGAGGCTGCTGCTGTATTCATGACGCTGTTTTAGACACTACCTCTGACTTACTTTTAGAGACAATATTGCTGTTGTTCAGGAGGAAACTGTTACACTGTGTTAAGTATCTGAGCTGTCCTTTGGGCCTGAGAGGCAAAGGCTTGGCATGCTCTGCCTCTTTGGACTCCAAATTCCTCTTCTAGACCTCTTTATTTTGCTTTAATACATTTATTGCAACCATGTTTAAGTGTGTTTCTTTTGGCATTAATTTGGAGACTATTTCAGTCTTCAGATTATGAAGATCATAACTCACAAGCCTGAATTCCTGTTGTGAGACATTTGAGAAACCACAGTGTAACCTTTCTCTTTTGCTTGCTGAACACTTGTTTTTTCCATCCATTGAGTTTCCTTTGGGCAGAGTCTTGAACCCAGATGGACTTTCTCTGGAAAGAGGTGGGCTTGCTTGGTATTCAGAGAGCTAGAGCTGGTAAGGACTGCTCAAAACTCAGATATTGAATCTGTGATTTGCAATGTGACAGTGAATTCAGAAATCAAACACACAAGTTGAGCTTGTCAGAGAGCAGCAGCTATGGAGGAGAAACTTCCTCAGCAATAGTCACACAAACACAGGCAGGCACCAGTGCTGCTGCTTTCTGTAGTCATACTCTTTTTTTTTCCTTTGTGTTGATTCACAACCAAATGTGACCATGTGTGCTTGAGCCAATGCAGTCACATGTTGATACTTATGGGCTCTTAATTGACTATCTGATAGCAGTCCTTCAGTCTGATTTATCTTGTGTTGTGGGTTTGGGGTTGTTTTTTTTTTTAAACCAAAGTGACTCATTAGCAGTTCTCTGCTCAATCATCTTCCTAAAGCAACTGTTTGTGCACTAATTATTCAGTGCTTGTATTAATCTCTAAGCTACTTATAATAGAATAGATTGTCTGTATATGTATACAAAAGAAAAGTGAATTTCTATGTTTATTATTTATTTTGTTATTGTATTCTGCATCTATCATTGTAGTCTGACAGCCCAGAAAAATCCGAAACCTCTTTGCTTGCTTGTCACAAACTCTGAACTCAGGACAAGTTTATTTAAAGGCTTACAAACCTTCCATGTGAACCTTGGCCAGGTTCTGAGCAGACTGTAATCTGATTTATCTGTTTGTTGCATGGTATTCCTTAGAGTTCCTTGAATTTTTAACTGAATCCTTTTTCTAAGGAGTTGGGAGTTGGGGGGTGACAGTCTCTCTAGCTGCCTTTCTCCTTTCCTCTTGTGTTTCAGTGATGGGGAGCAAATCATGGAAATCAGCTTTTTGGGATCTAAAGCTCAGATTTGTAGTTTAAAACTTCCTTTGAAAACCCCAGCAGACAGTTTTTAGTATTTTTTTTCTTGATGAAACTGCTGGAACCTGTTTTGAATAGCACTATTTTGTTTGCAAAGTTATTTAAAATACCTAGATTTTCCTTAGCTTAATCTTGTGTTAACCTACTTTTCTCATGGCTCCAACTGAAACTCCGTGATACTGTTAAATGTATGGGTTTGGTTTCAGTGGTCTTTTAGTTACTAATTGTCTTAGAGCTCAGAACTTGAAAAAACTTATTTAGAATGCTGATGAGGCAGAAGTAATAGGTTTGAAAGGTTTCCTGCAGGACTGGAGGACCAGGTGAGAAGGTGAAGTGAGTATGTTTGCATTCAGCTCTCTTATTTTGTACTGTATGTATCTACCTCAAAAGAGATTTATCGGGCTTAGCCAATATTTATATTGTGCATGCACAGTTATGACTGTTGTTAGTCCTTCCGTTGTATTTATTTAAATAGAGATACAGTGATTGTAACTCAGGGCTTTGGTTATTTTTAAGTACAAGCTCAGAAGTTTTTCTAACATATTTGCTGTTAGCTCTTGCCTCTTGAAATAGGACAGAGGCATGCTAGGTGTTAAGAGTGCTAAAGTGCTAATAGAGGGAGAAGAAATGGAAAACAGCTTTAGGATAAGTGATGCAGTGGTGGGAGGAAGCAAATACTTCTGTAGGTTTGGCCTGTCTGAAGAGACTCATGTGTCACTCTGGAGCAGTGCTTGGTGTTATGCCTCTATGTGAGGAACCTGACAGTCTCAATAGTGAGTTGGGCAATTGGCAGATTGCCTGGGACAGAATATCTCCTGTGGATACTCTGGGCCATATTAATATTGATATTTAGAATTGGTTTTAGGGTAGTCCTAAACCATCCTAAGCAATATGAACTATCTTTCTTCTGTTCCATGTTACAGCCCTACATGTAGTAGGCCTACCCCTCTGGCACAGCACCACAACATATCCAGGTTTCCTCACGCTTTGCGAAACAGAGCTCATCTAGACTTGGACTCTGGGCTGTGGCCTCTATTTTCTGGCATTATAAAAATAAAAAGGTGAGCTGGGCAGGAAGGGAGGATCAAGGAAGTAGAGCAGTAGTTTGCATCCACATTGAAGGTGTGGCAGCGTTTAGCCAGGTTTCAGGCAGCAGAGTCGGAGCAGGTCTGGCAAGTGAGTGACAGTGGCTCTAGCTTGTACTGAGAAACTGGGCTAAGAGTCTGGCCTCTGAATGGACTATGGACCTGCCTGTGCATATGAGCTGGGAGAAAACAAAGACTGGCATGAGTACAGGAGAAGGCTGAGGGTTCCTTGCTGTTGATGTAGACCTGTATTTGCTAAGTACAGTGTTTTAGTCTTGTATCTTCCCAAAGCAGTGGGGTTCACTTTTGAAAGGTTTAGGTGGAAAACTCTCCCAAAAAGATTGTTCTGAGGACCTGACCATTCTGCAGGTGCTAGAAGAAGAGAAGCTGGGAAACTAGTAACTGCTTGAGGCAAAGTACTTACTTGAATTGTGTATTTTGAATAATTATTTGTATGGTTTATTACAGATTCGGGTTACTTATACATTGTTTTATGACTGTTTTCCTTCTAATGTGCAATCACTTCAATGCTGAGCACACGTGTGGTATGCCTGTTCTAAATTGCCAATTGCTACTGTGTGCAATTCAAGGGCATACCTGAGGTACAGGAGACCTCTCTATATATCTCTGATGGAAAGCAACAGGGAGAAGGTTTTTAGGAAGCATACATGAGTTTTTAGTATCTTACTGTGTGCTTGTAAGTGAAAGCAAAGAGGAGTTATTACTAGATTTTGCAGACTATCAATTGCTCAACTCCTTATTTGTGAACTACTGTCCTAATATATTTAACAACTTGGGAGCTAAAACAAAAGACAGATTCCTGCTGTCTGATTTTACCTCAAGAACTGAAGGGATACCAGCTTGCTGTGATAAAAGGATCCCACTGGGGACAGTGCTGCAAGGCAAGTTTCCAGGGTGCTGTGGTCAGTGAGAGATGTCGGAGTGGGAGTCTTCAGAGCAGAAATGCTGGCTTCAGAAAGGCAAAGGCTCTTGTTCTGCTCAACAAACTCTGGAGAAGAAAGGAGCAACTGGGGAAATGGTATCTTTGCTCCTGACACCTGCTGTTTTCTGCTGTGTTGGTACTGAGATACTATGTTGGAGTTTAGAAAGCACCTGTGCTGTAAAGCTGAAGCAGCACTTTTGAGCAGGGATTTTGGCTCAAACAGAAGTGAGGCAGCTGCCGAGGTGCTTATCTGTTGTTCTCTAAGCCTTTGGAAATACTTTCCTTATGTTCCTGTCTCAAGTGTCAGAGTTCATTTTTGTATCACCTAGCAGATGAGGGTTTACGACTTCTGTAGGTAAATCAAAGTGGCCGTGTCCTCTATTTAAAATTGGGCTACCCAGGGAAGCCTGACAGAGTTTGTGTGACCTGGGGCTTATTTGAATTTATGATATTTAATACAGAGATCATGTGTGGTTTTAGTGAGACTTCATCTGGACTTGAGCAAATTGTTGCCCATCTCTAATAAGCAGATTCGCTGGTCAGAGGACCACTGTTTGGGACTACACTTCACAAAGGCAAATTTTCACACATTCTTATTCCAACTTTGGGTTTTGACTTAACAGAAGGGTAGAAGAGCCAGAGCATATGCTGAAGAGCAAATAAATTTTATGCTAAGAACGTGTATGTTGGGCTAACTGTGGTAGCAGTATAGTGATTCGCTTAGTCACACCTTCCAATGATAATCCTCTTAGCTGTTTGTTTCAGGTTGTGTTAAATCAGTATTTTGTATTAAAAAAGACAAAAAATTGGTCCCACTGATTCAATATGTCTGTCTTGTTGAAGAAATGTGTGTACTTCTTTAAGTGTATTTACTTGTCTACAAGTCTTACCAAGTAAACAAGCTTTAATTGTAGGGACTGGAATAGGAATGCTGGCTTTAGAACTGTTTGCTGAATCTAATTATATTTTGTATTTCTGAATATTTATGTATTGTGTTGTTCATTGAAACAGTACTTCTCTTACCATTTGTTAAACCTGTGATAATTCTTCTGTATCTCACTTAAATTAAACTGCAGTGTATTCCTAATTCTGAAAAAAGTATTGATCAGTACATATAAAAAATGTTTTTGATGGTTCGTTGATATTGCTCAATGTC